AAAAAAAAAAAAAGGCCATTTGCTCTGGCCCCTTTCAGCCCTTCCCTTCTTGCAGCCACACACCCTACAGGGTTTAAAATCAAATTAATGAGAGGAAGGAAGGAAGAAAAAGGTTTACTCTTACCCCATTCCGCCGCGGCCGCCTCCTCCCCGCCCACCTCTGCTCACGCCTCCACGATCAAATCCCCCTCTTCCCCTTCCCCTGTTTTCAGGGCCGCTCAAGCTCCGGCTTTCTCCTGGGCCAGAAAAGCCTGCAGAGTCTTGGCCATACACACCCATGTTGCTGGGATGGTCTTGGCGGAATGAACCTAAGGAACAATTCACACAGCGTTAAGGACGCGGGCTGCAGGCCCCGGCAAGACCACCAAGACGGCCGCGGAAAGGAGGAGGAGGAGGAGGAACCTGCAAAACTCTACCGGATGGCTTGGCCAACAACCCCATTAAAGAAGCATCCCTTTTCGCTACTACAGGGAGTAAGTTCAAACGAAGCAAGAGACGGCTTTTCTTTTTTTTCCCCGCTGGCTCCTGCAAGGGGCAGAAACTCCAGAGAACACAGGGAGTTTCCTGGATCGCTGAGACCAAACCTCTAGCAGAAACCTTAAAAGCTTTCTAAAATGTTTCTCTTATCGGTGAGCCTAAACAACTGAAACGCTGGATTTAAAAGAGATTCAACGTTGGATCTGGCAGGAGAACTAGAGATCTCTTTAGGAGAGAAACGAAATGTTCAGAATGAACCATAGATGAAACAGTACAGGTAGTCCTTGACTTGCAACCGTTCGTTTTAATGCTTTAAGTCGTTGGAAGGCACTGAAGAAAAGCGACGGAAGGCTGCTTTTCACACTTATGACAGTTTCCAGCATCCCCAGGGTCACGTGATCAAAATTTGGAGGAGGCTTGGCAACTGGCATGTACTTATGATGGTCACGTGATTTCCCCCTTTTCGCCACCTTCTGATAGGCAAAGCCAACGGGGGATTCATATTCACTTAACAACTATCTTACTGCGGGGATTCACTTAACAGCTATGGCAAGAAAGGCTGTAGAAGGAGGCAACTGCAGAAATTTTGGCCTCAACTGTGGTCGTAAGACAAGGATCTCTTTTATATCAGAAATGGGGACCTTGGACCGAAAGGGGTTTGGGGGGGGGAGAAGAGGAGGGGGCTACTTACTTGGCTGCCCATAGCTGCTGCTCTGCTGACTGTACTGGCTTGGTGCCTGGCTGTAGGATCCAGTGGGAGGTGGGTAGCTGGTGGGGGGCTGCTGCCCATAGCTGCTTTGCTGTCCGTAGCTACTCTGTTGGCCGTAGCTGCCCTGCTGCCCGTAGCTGCTCTGCTGGGAGTAAGTGCTCTGATCGTAACTGCTTGGTTGAGAAGAAGAGTAGCTGAAAAGATATGGCAAAGCACAGGAAAAGTAGCTGCTGGTTAAAAAAAGAGAGAAATGTTAAAGGGATGATCTAGCCCAAGCTGTCAGCCCTCATAAACTGACAGCCGTATCAAAATAATATCTGGGTTTGATGTATTTTCATATTTAAAGGATGTATGTAATTAGCAGTTCGCCATGAGTAATATGGAGTATTCAAATAATCCCAATCATTGGTTCCCATTACAAACTACATAGCATTACTCTTTAAAAAATATTTGTCCTTGCTGAAGGTTGATTTTTCTCTAACCAGACCAGCGCAGTCCAAAAAGTGGAATGTTCACAAGATTGTCTCCCTTGAAGTTAGAAAGCCAGGGGTGGAATAGAGTTATTATTATCATGCTTCATCACACAGCCAGCCTGAATTTGGCATTTTTATCCACCTATCAAGTTATTGTTTATTTGTATCCCGTCTTTTATTGTTTTTACAAATAACTCAACGCGGTGAACATATCCAACACACTTTCCTCCTCCTATTTTCCCGACAACAACAACCCTGTGAGGTGGATTGGAATGAAAGAGAGTGACTGGCCCAAAGTCACCCAAGCTGGCTTTCATGGCTAAGGTGAGATGTAAACTCACGGTCTTCTTGGTGTTTAGTCTGGTGCCTTAACTACCAGAGAATATATCTTACATCTCCTGAATATTGAAATCCACAATTAGATAGCCTTGGTATAGCTTGCCCTAATAAAGTGCAATGCAGCTGAATTGATTTGGGGTAGGGAGGTGGGGGAGGAGGGGATTGGAGTCTAGAAAGAACCGCTTCTTTATGTCTATTGTTGGGGTTCGAACTAGCCTGCTGGTATATTATGGTCTTTATTCTGGAAATCATTATCCAAGACAGGGGTCTTCAAACTTGACCGCTTTAAGACTTGGGGACTTTCCACACTCAGAATTCCTCCTCCAAGTCATGTTAACTCAGGAATTCTGAGAGTTGAAGTCCACAAGTCTTAAGCTTGGCCAAACTTGAAGACTCTTGGTCTATTCTATCTATTCTCTCTCTCTCTTTCTCCTTCTCTCTATCTCTATCTATCTATCTCTCTATCTCTGTCTTCAAACTTGACCGCTTTAAGACTTGGGGACTTTCAACTCTCAGAATTCCTCCTCCAACTCAGGAATTCTGGGAGTTGAAGCCCACAAGTCTTAAACCTGGCCAAGTTTGAAGACCCTTGACCCAAGACCTGACCTGGGATGTCAAGACATTTACATGTTGGGTCACCGAGATTAAGCTTCAGAAGGGACATCAGCTTCAATGCTTCTTGTTAGAAAGGCCATCCCATCCCAGCACATTCTGTCCAGCCGAAACCAAACATGGAGATGGAGGACAGAATTTGTGAACACTCACCTGGTTGGTGGGTAGGCTGGCGGGGCAGTGACCGGCTGCATGGGGTAACTTCCAGGAACCTGATAACTGTAGTTACTCTGGCCATATCCTAGGCTCGGCTGACTGTAGCCTGTTGAACTAGTCTGAGCTTGGCTGGTGTCTGAAGGTTTGCTGCCATCCTGGGGTCTAAATGGGAGAATCAAGAAACAGAAGCATATTTTATACAAAACCTCTTCCCTGCTTTTCAGGTGAACAACTATCATACCATGTAACAAGCTGTTTAAAAAAAAAAGAAAAGCACTTTCCTCTTACATAATGCAATTGTTAAAAATACCTCTTGCTTATAATTCTTCAGTTTCAAACTCCACCTTTAGGTTTCCATGCTGCTTTAGAGAGAAAGCATAAATTCTGGAAAACCACCATCCATACGGCTACAGGTGGTCCTCGACTTATGACCCCAACTGAGCCCCCTCCCCGTTTTTGTTGCCAAGCGAGAGACGGTTAAGTGAGTTTTGCCCCGTTCTACCACCTTCCGTTGCCACGGTTGTTAAGTGAATCCGGCTCCCCCAACTGGCTTTGCTTGCCAGAAGGTCGCAAAAGGGGATTTACGTGACCCTGGGACCCTGCAAGCGTCATAAATATGAGTCTTGATCATGTGACGGGGGGGTGTGCTGCAACAGTCACAAGTGTGAAAAACCGCCGTAAATCACTTTTCCCTTCCTGTTTTAACTTCCAACGGCCACGGGGACAACCTATGCTCTCTCACTCTCTGGGTGTGTTGAAGGGAGGCATGTCTGTAGCTATTAGTAACTGGCCTTGAACCAGGACAACTATCTGTCCCAATCACCAAGGCAAACTATCTTTTTTTTTAAAAAAAAATCCAGAGTACAGCTATCTTTCCACCCAACACAAGAGGAAATTTTATACATGAGCAGCTTCATTTATGCCTTAGTGGAGATGGGGCAGAGAAGACTGGAGAACAGGAAGGAAATAATTCAGGGGAGCACTTGCAACCCAAGGCAAAAAAAAAAAAAAAAACCCAGAACGGGGACACGACACAACTTTAAAAAAATTAATAAATAAATAATCCAACCCAAATGTGTACTTTACCTCGCAGCTGTAGCATTTGTTGGCTGCTGTCCATAGGTAGGATAGGCAGGCTGGGTGCCATAAGCAGTCGGGGCGGCGTAGGAAGCCTGTGTGGTGGTAACAGTGGCGGTCGTGGTGTCATAAGCAGCGGTGCCGTACCCTTGGACCGGTTGGCTGTAAGCCTGAGGGGCAGCTGGGGTGGTATAACCTGCAAAGCGAGCGAGCGAGTCAAAGCGGGGTGCGTCTCGTAATCTGGTCAACTTGTACACGCAGTCCTCGACTTATGACAAGTTCTGTGGCTAAGCAAGACACTTCTTAAGTAGCATTCGCCCCTCCCCCCTTTTACAACTTTTCTTGCCAACGTTGAGTGAATCCCTGTAAGTTGGTAACGGGGTTGTTGAGTGAATCTGGCTTCCCCTTTCGACTCTGCTTGTCAGAAAGCCGCAAAAGCCTGACCATGGGACACTGCAACTGTCGTAAGTCTAAGGCAGCTGCCAAACAGCGGGATTCTGATCATGTGACCAAAAGGGACGCTGCGAGGATCACAAGTGTGAAAAACGGGTCACTGTCACTTTTTTCAGTTGGTTTTGTAACACCACAACAGTCGCTAAACAAAAGGTTGTTAAATCGAGGACTACCTGTACAAATATACGTATTAGGGCACCTGAGATAACCTTAAACTGAGATCAAGGAAGTCTTAAATGAAAGATCAGAGGATTCTCTCATCAGGATTGACTACTGTTGAGGAATCGGGGAGCTGAAAACCATGCAGCTGGAGGGTAACCAGGTTAGGGGAAGGCCATCCAAGGTATAAAAAAGATATTTAATGCGGTGTATTTTCTCCTATTGCTATCTAACAGACCGGGGTGGTGCTAGTTACTATACAAGCTAGCTTTCAAAATCCAATTACTAAAGAATTGCCTTGTGAGCTATTACCAGTTTCATTTAAACGTACCCAGCGGGGAAACAATATAAACTTTCTTTATTTCCACAATTAAAAGATTTTCTTTTTTAGATTGTTCATATTCTATACGGAAACGAGGGAGAACCGTGCAATGTATTACAGCAGAGGAAATGTGCCTGAATTCTGAAGGTGCCATTCTGAAAACAGACAGGAATTGCTTGCTGGGAATAGGGTTTCCTGCCTTGGCGAGGGGTGGGACTAGAACAGGGCGGCCCAACCTCGGGGGCCTGGCCCATTAGTTGTGGGTGCTCCAACATTGGAGACTTTTAAGAAGAGACTGGGCAACCATTTTGTCTTGTCACGGTTTAGGGTTGGAGGAGACGACCTCCGAAGTCCCTTATAACTCTGAAGTGCTTCCGTCATAGACTGCATTATTGAAACCTCTGGCCTCTTTCTCTTTAAAAGCCCTGGCCGTATACATGCTAACCCAGGCTTTGAGCACAAGGGGCGGGAAACCATGCTTAATTAGAAACACAGAAGTGTTTTTGCATGCACCGAAAATTCAACGGGCTTCTTCCCATCCTTCAAAGGCAATCTTCTTGCAGTATCAACATGAAGCATTCAGATCCTGATGTTTTAACCGTGCAAACATACGGGACACTTACAAAATAGCGAATGTGGTAACACATTTGGAGGAGCCATCAGTTCAAATGAAACATGCAGGGATGAGAGCTGTTACGTTTGAAATATGCCTAATTATGTTGCTCACCCTTTAGTAAACTGGAAAAGCAGAGTTAATAAGCCACATGGTCTTTTCCCATGGCTGAGGTTTAAAAAAAAATATTTTTTATCAGCAGCCAGAAAGAACTGATTAATGGCCCTTTTTATAGAAAGGTGGCCTTTCTATAGGTGAACCAGCAAAATGGGCCTTTTACGAGCACGCTGCAGGTTTTGCTGCCAAAAAACAAACAAACAAAAAAACCCTCCTAAAAGGTGAACACCATAACGTTTTAAGACAAAATGGACGGCATTTCCCATGCAAAATTTGAGCAGGATATTCAAACCTGTGCTGGTCCCTTCTACTGTGGAAAGCACAAGACAAAAAGTAGAGGGCATTTCAGCAGGACAAGCAAGCACGCTTGAAACCAACTTCCTCAAAACGAGAAGGGAAAAGTTCTAGCGACTCAGAACACCCAGGAATGTTTCCTTCGTGAGGAGACAATTGTTTGCTAGCCTTCAGAAGCGTCCCAGTTATGTGAGGACTAGTAGCCCCAATCTTTCTTTAATAGCCAATTGATCTACATCTCACCATTCTCTCCCCCACCATCCCAAATAAATACAGGTAGACCTTGACTTACAACTACAATTGAGCCCCAAATTTTTGTTGCTAAGCGAGACAGTTAAGTAAAAATTTTCCATTTTATGACCTTACTTGCCACCGTTAAGTGAATCACTGCAGCTATTAAGTTAATAAAGGGGTTGAGGACTCAGATTTTTGGGGTTTGCAAGGTGCTGACTCTGTAAACGGCTTAGAGAGGGCTATAAAACACTGTAAATTGGTCTAGAAGTCTAAGCACTGTTGCTATTGCTATTGAACTCAGCCTTCCGTCCTTCTGAGGTCGGTAAAATGAGGACCCAGATTGTTGTGGGCGATAGGCTGACTCTGTAAACCGCTTAGAGGGGGCTGTGAAGCACCATGAAGCGGGATATAAGTCCAAGGGCTATCAGGCTTCTCCACTGACTTTGCTTATCAGAAGGTCACAAAAGAGGATCACACGACCCCAGGACAACGCAACCGTCATAAATACGAGTCAGTTGTCAACTCTGATCACGAGGCCAAGGGGATAGGCTTCAACAGTCATTTTTCAGTGCCGTTGTGACTTCGGTCACTAAACGAACTGTTGTAAGCCAAGGACTACCTGTACAAGAGTGACTGAAGACAGATGTGCTCACCAGTTGGAGGCTGCCCGTAAGAACTCGCATATGCAGTCTGCCCATAGGTAGCTGTGGTCTGAGCCTGGGTATAGCTGGCATCCGTGGGTTGCCCATAAGTGCCATAGCTTTGCTGTCCGTAGGCCTGCTGGCAACAAGAAAGATATTAAAAAGTATGCCGCGCAAAAGAACAGATGTGAGAATCCTATTTTGGTTATCATTCTTATGCCCGGGCATGTCAGAGGTTACGTCATCCCATTTCCTATTTTGAAACATTCTTTAATCAGGCAGAGAAACTGAATGAATCTCCCAAGATTACCAATTCCCATGAGACCCAAGAAAAAAGAGAGAAACAAGCATACAGTTGGCAGTCAAGAAATATCCAGGGCTTTCGCCATAAGCCCAGTTCACTCTCTTTTGCCAGGACGATGTTACAGAGGAAAAAATCAATTATGGTATGTTAGCAGATAGATCAAGGTAGTTATTTTCATTTAGCCAAGAACCGACATTTAGATAAAGTAATCTGTTTTTTTCTCCATCCTAAAATCTCCCCAAATTTTCTGACGTTTTTCTCTTCGACTCTGCAGCACAATATCTATGGGGATTCTCAATCATCCGGGTCATGGTTGTCCCAAAGGTGCTTTTTGCAAGAGACAGCTGGACCTCCTCGGTTTTCTTTTCTTTTCTTTTTTCTTCCTTGTTTCTCATCCAAGAAGTTTACTTAATACTGGAGAAGCTTTTTGGATGAGAAGCAAAATGTTTTCAAAGGGAGAAAAAAAAAAGCCAAGGGAGTCCAGTTGTCTTTTGCAAGAAGCATCTGCAATACACTTTTTTTTAAAAAAAAAAAAATACTTAAGCACTATGCAAAAATATTTCTCTTGCTTGTAAACAGCAATTAAGAGTCAAGCCTGTATAAACAACTTTGGTATTTTTTATTTCTAACACGATCCGCACGTTTTGATGAAGAATACTCCCTCCCAAGCAGCAGTATGGGGATGGAGCTTCAAAAATATAAATGCCTTACTGCACAAAGCACAGCATTGTCTACTCAGAGGTAACTAGCCCCCTATTCCTGCCAGGGTTTCAAAGAGGCAAAACGGCCAGTATAGGAAAGAGATTAAATGTTACAAGTTAATTGCCCTTCGGGTGGGTATTTCAGTGAATTTTATTTATTTAATGTATTTATATTGCTGCCTATTCCCCCATGGCGACTCGAGGCGTATTTTGTTAAAATGAACATGACTTGTATTTTTAATCCGGGTAGTCCCCTACTTACCACAGTTGAGCCCAAAATTTCTGTTGCTAAGTGAGTCACTGGTTTAGTGAATTTTGTCTCATTTTATGAACTTTCTTGCCACAGTTGTTAAGTAACCACTGCAGCTGATAAATTAGTAACCCGGTTGTTAGGTGAATCTGGCTTCCTCACTGAAGGTCCCAAAAGGGGATCGCATGACCCTGGGGACACGTCATAAATATGAGTCAATGGCCAAGCAGCTGAATTTTGATCACATGACCACAGAGAGGCTGCAATGGTCTTAAGTGTGAAAAATGGTCACAAGTCACCTTTTTCAGTGCCTTTACAACTGAAGGGTCAACTAAACAAACTGTTGTTAGTCAAGGGCTACCTGTAGCATCAACATTTAGAAATGTATCTAGATATAAAACTCTGAAATAAACAGACTCCACCAAACCTGGGCTTTAATGTTGCAATAGTGTATTACAAATATGTACCGTGTGCTTCTCACTGAGAACCTCAAGGCTACCCATGCACCATTCCTTCCCAATTTCTCCCACGACAGTCACCCTATTAAGTTAGCTGTTCTATATTCCATGGGTCATAGAGCCTATTTTCAACAGAAAAGAATCCCTGGAGCTCAGGGTTGAACTGTGGAATCCTCGGCCCCAAGTTTGCTCTTTGCTTGCAGAGGTTTCATTAGCCAATTAGGTAACATCATCCACAGTGCTGGGTAATGAAACCTCTGCAAGCAAACAACAAAACACAAAACCTCGTTTAAAAGGAACACTTCAAACAGGCGAGGGGTGGCTTTTACAGAAAGCTTGTCAACATTTTTCATGGGCTTTTGGCATTTTCTTTCCTAAGACTGCCAATACAAAGAGGCGTTTTTGTGAATAGAGAGGAGGTAGGCACTTTCTAATTTTACAGCTTGTTTTTTAATCTTAGAAAATCTGTTAAAGCTTCAAACTGGTCAGAGTTTCTATTGTTATCCTGGTGGTTGTATTTTACCTGGGTAGTCTGTGCATATCCTTGAGTTGGCTGAGCCGCATATGCAGTGTAGCTATGAAAAGAAGAGATATTTGAAGGTTTATGAAACAACAAAAAACCACTATGGTTTAAAAAGCAGCAAAATGCATCACTTCTAATATAAAGTAAAAGCAAAGCTCTTAATGCAACTTTGCAATATCAAAACTGATAATACTTTAAAACACTAATCCAAGTTTTTTTTAAAATGTAACATTACTATATACAGAAAAACTCACCCCTGCTGGGCAGCTGCTTGAGTGTAGGTACTATAATCTGCAGAGGGTAAGAAGACAAAAGCAGAGGGGGGAGGGAGAGGAAATCACTGTAAAACCAACTCAATCTAAAATCCATTTTTCTTCATTTCAGAGTAAAGGTGTAAGAATTCCTGAGAGCTTGTGCTAATGTTCATCGGAAGATGGACTGATTAGAAGAATTACCATTACAGAAGCAAAATGCAAACCGACTTTATATAAAGCAGTCAGACTGTAAATTTTGCTTTTTATTTGAAGTTAAAATGTTCAACGAAAAAAACCAAAATTCTAGTCAATGTGGGTGTTGTGTTTAGTCTTGACATATGTAGGTTTTCTTCCAGTTTTTTGGGTGGGTGGGTGGGAGGGGTGGCATGGTTTTTCTGTAAACCATGTGCTTGAGAATTGTCAATTTTATAATGTTTTGTGGCTATGAGTCTATCCAATACCCTGCCAACTTGCATTCACAGAAGTGGTACTTTCTATATGCTTGATTTTGAGAAGGAAGAATGTGACTGTATGTTTCTTTCTATTCGGGGAGAAACTAGCCATGAAAAAATATGAGCGTTATTAGGGAAATGAGGAATTTGGGAGAAAAGGTAAAGAGCATAGCGGAATTGGAGCCACATTCCCTCCACAATGCCTTTTCTCTACATTTTTGCAACACAGTGAAACATGAAAATCTAGGATTCAGGATTTTAGATCCTATTATCTGGATCGGGCACATAAAACAAACTGGGATTTATAAACCAATTTCATATCCAGAGTTCAAATTGGGAGGAGGGGGGATTGGCAAAAAAAAAAAAAATCATATGGGATCAAATAAGCCAAAAATATTTTGTGATTTAACTTTGTGTGACAAACATTTCCATTCCACAACTCTTTTTCACTTAGCTGCACTTTTTTGCTAGTCATGTGCCATAATTAGTCCCCCCCCCAAAAAAAAAACCACAACCCACCCCATATACTATTTTCAAATATTTTTTCCTGCTTTCTCAGGGGTAAAAGATTTTCTAATCAACCGTAAAATCTCTTTTCATTCCATTTGTTTGGCTTTTCATTTTCCGTAAGGAATATTATTGTATTTTATGTGGTTTAACAGCATACAAAATGGAATCTTTATTTAAAGAATTATAAACTGCTTGTTTGGCATACCTTACTAAAATATACACTTGTATACATGCCATACCCAGGTAACCCTCAGAAGCATCTTATAATCCTTTTACCTGTATAAATGTAAACAGCCAACCACTTTAAAGTCTCAGTGAGGAAACTAAACAAATCTTACTCTTTAACTCTCCAACTGGAATTAAGAGACCTCAGCTGGATCATAAGCTTGCTCACTAATATGGTGCAGTAGCTTATTTTCAAATATACTATTGATCTTGACCTTTAAAAATGCAGAGTTGTGACTGGATTATGCGCTATACACGTATATTTGAACTGCCTTTTTTTATACCCTCAGGACAAATTTCAGAGTAGAAACCATTAGCTGCAGCAAGAGTAAATAATGTTCTGCTGCAAATTATAGCCTTTAACTTTTCTAAACTAGGTGCAACTTCAGGAGATGTAAATTGCTTGGAGAAACAAAATTGAAAAAAAAAAAGGCATTGCTAAGAATATTTTAAGAACAATCTATTTCCTTGGTTAAAAATGAAGTTTTATTTTAACACATCTTAATCTTAAACACATCTACATCCCAGGGGTGGGATGTAGAGCCGGGCAGAACCAGTAGCTCTGAAGAGCAGCAGACACCGAACCGGTTCTGTGTTTGCAAAATGTACTCACCGAACTGGTAGTAACACCAGTTGAATCCCACCCCTGATCTATTTCCTTTAAAAAAATAAAGACTTGGTTGGCTGTCTTGTGTTTTACATACAGCTATATTGCTTCTTTTCTTGTAAATAAACTGTATTCAATAATGCAGTGTAAAGTATTGGTCAGCTCTGGCATAAACTGAAAAAGCAGTAAAATCAAAATCCAATCCTCTCTAAACCACTCTAAACTTTAAAATGCATGGAATTCAAACCCCCCACCCCACCCCAGCCCGCCTAGGAGAATTCTGGGAGTTGAACTTCACACTTCTCAAAGTTGTGAAGCTGGATAAAGACAGGCAGCAGCAGAGACACATGCAGGGAGTAAATATTCAGCAAGATTTGTAAGTTGAAGGTGAAGATCAAAGGGGCCAAAAGCAGAGCTGTGGGCGAAGAGGAAGAGCAACAGAAGATAAAACAAAGGGAGGGAATGTAAGAAACTCCAGGAAAGAGTAGAATAAGCCCTAACTGTGCTTCCAAAAAAGAGCCAATGACCTCAGGCCGGTCACTCTATGAGCCAAACCTATTTTCCATTTGAGAAACGAAAGGGGGGGATGCACCTAAACCAGAGCGTAATTCTAACAGAGGAAGTCCTCGACTTACAACCACAACTGAGCCCAAAATTTCCATTGTTAAATGAAGCCCTTTTTCGGTGGGGTAGGGGGGTGTCACACATTTTACAACCTTGCTTGCCACAGGTGTTGAATCACTGCAGTTGTTTAGTCACTTGGTCATTAAGTGAATCTGGCTCCTCCATTGCCTTTGCTTACCAGGTGGTCACAAATGTGGGACACTGCAAATGTGGGTCATAAATATGAAACCCAGTTTGCCAAGCGTCCGAATTTTGATGATGCGACCAAGAGGATGCTACAATGGTCATAAGCGTGAAAAATGGTCACAAGTCACTCTTTTCAGTGCCACCTCGGTCACTCAGTTAACTGTTGTTAAGTTGAGGACTACCTGTAAATAGAGCGGCGTTTCTCAACCTCGGCCATTTTAAGATGGTAGGACTTCAATTCCCAGAATTCCCCAGGCTGGCTGAGGAATTCTGGGAGTTGCAGTCCTAACTGCCACCTTAAGTTGCAGTCCTACTGCCTCCTGGGAGTTGTAGTCCTAACTGCCATTTTAAAAATGGCCGAGAAGCATTTTTTTTTTTTGAAACAAGAGCACAAAGAACGAAGGAAGAGCCCTTTGCAGGAAAGCAAAGCAACAGAGGGAAAAAAAAAGTAGAATCAAGGGCGGAAGTCTTAAAAACGGGAAGGAAGGAAACACAGGAAGGGCGGCAAGGTGAAAGCCAGCAGAGGTTAAAATTTAAAAAGCCTGAAAAAATGGTTTTTTTTTAAAAAAAAAGCGGGGGGAAACAGTCACCCAATGGAGTCAACGAAAGAAGGTGGGGAAGGAGGGAGGATGGCGCGGCTGTTCCACCCTCCGCCTCTCCTCCCCCCCCCCCCGGTAGCCATGGAGTAACCCGGGCCCCCTCAACGGCCGTCCGGCCGACCTTTTTCTCTCTTTCCCCCGCATCCACCCCCGCACACGCGCGCTCTGGGAAGCGGTGGAATTTTCCAGAAAGAGCCGCCACCGCCGCCGTTTCTCGTCGTCGTCTTGTTTCGACCGGTGCCTCAAGGCCTTTCTGGGCGCCCCCCCCACAACCTCCCCGACTAGGCCGCGGCCGATTCGCCTCACCCGTCGACGCCATTGCTCCGCTCGCTGGGTCGCGCTCCACTCCGCTGTCGTCGTCGTCGCCGGCGCTGCCTGGTTGTCCCGCTTCGGCGTCGTCAGCGTCGTTTCTCCGCCTCCTCCTCCTCCTCCCTCCTTCTCCTCGCTAACGTCCTCCCGGTCTTTCTGCAGCCCGCGACTGCGCAGGCGCGAGACTTTCCCACCAGCAAAGGGGCGCTACCACCGCGCGGCCAAGAGGAGGGGGACGCGCCTTTCCTTCCCTTTCCTGCCTTTCCCTTCGGGAACAAAACCAGAGAGAGGCCCCCAAAGAAGAGAGAAAGGTAAGGCGAGGAGAAAGGCGGGCCAAGGCAGCGAGAGAACGAGAGTGGGGGTATTGGGTCTTTTTTTTCCCCGCTCGGATGCAACCCCCCCGCGCCGGATGTTACAATGGTACCGTCCGGACGCTTCTAAGGGATCCTGGTCCAAGAGGCGGAAGGATTGGGAAACGTGGAAGAATCCGGCAATGGAATCGAATGGGGCTGGGGGTGGATGATGGGAAGAGTTGTACCTCGGTCAATTTGTACAGCCTGTCCGGGATGGTATAAAAAGAGAAGGGCCAGATGGTTCTTTCCTTGGTGCCTGGCTTGGGATTTCAACTCCCATCAGCAGGGGGGTTGGACTAGATGACCTCCAAGATTCCTTCCAACTCGTTATTCTGGGTCTAAATAATATCCAGCCAAGGTTATTATTAGTGCCACTTTATAAAATCTTAGTAAGGCCCCAGCTAGAATGCCGCATCCACTTTTAGTCCTCCACATTGGAAAAAAAATAGAATAGAATAGAATACTTTATTGGCCCAGTGTGATTGGATACACAAGGAATTTGTCTTGGTGTAAATACTGTCAGTGTACATAAAAGAAAAAATACATTCGTCAAGAATCATAAGGTACACTTAATGATAATCATAGGGTAGAATAAGCAATCGTTCATACTAGGAAACAGTCAATATAAATCGTAAGTATACAAGCGACAAAGTTACAGTGCTGAGACTTTGTGGGGAAAAAAGTGCAAAGAAGAACAACTCAGATGATGAAGAAGGGTTGCAGGATTTGAGTCTGGCTAGTCTGGAGAAAAGAAGGACGGGGAGAACATGATAGCAGTGTTTCAATATTTTAAGGGTTACCCCAAAGAAGACGGGGAGATCAACCTGTTTTCCAAAGTGCTAAAAAACAATGGATGGAAACCAACCAACGAGATTTCAGGCAAGCGGCTCTCCGGTCTCTTCTTCAAAACCTCCAGTGATGGAACACCCACCGCTTCTTGGGACAAGCTGTTCCAACGGGTTAATTGTGGGGCAACTTGCCTTAAGAAGTTGTGGCGGGGGGTTCCATCCCTGGAGGTTTTAAAGAAGAGGCTGGACAACTCTTCCTCTTCCTCCAGAAAGGAGCCCGAATCGTGGGTTTGTAAAGAGATTGGTAAGCAACGGCCCCGTGTGCTGTTCTTACGCCAGCGAACTTGCTGGAGTGGATTTAGGCTGGTGAAAACGGTGTAGGGAAAGCCAAGAAGGAAGTAGTAGGAAGTAAAAACATCCTCAAAGATCCATCTCATCCTGGGCACCCCTTTTTTTTTTTAAACTATGACCATCTGGGAGACGGTACAGGATAATAAAAGCAAGGACAAATAGGCTGAAAAACAGCTTCTATCCCAGGGCAGGAATTCTGTTGGATTTTACTGTATATAGTGCGATATGAATGCAATATCAGCGGGTTTTCAATTCAATGTGTGGAGTGTGAAGGATGGGTGTTCGTGTTTTATTTTGACAGTCATAATGTACACTTGAAGAGGGTATTTAATTCCGTTGTACGAGGTGAAATGACAATCAAGTAAACTAAAGTAGAGAATGCCAGGCTCAAGAGGAGGAAAAATAAAATAAAAAGAAGAGATAAGCGCCACATATACACACCAACCTGCCCACATGCCCCCAGAACGGGATGCAGCAGGCTCTTTGCAACCCCAGGCAAATAATTGAAATAGCTGGCTTGGTTTGCTTAGATTTGGGGGGGGAGGGGGGGGCGCAGGAGCCCTCTCCCAGCCTCTTCTAGCCTGCCTCCTTTTTAGAGATGCTCCCTCGCCATTCCAACATGTGCAAGCCGTGGCTCGCATGGGCAAGCTGCTGGCATGTCCAAAATGGCTGCAAAGCCGGCGTTCTCCAAGCCCACCAGCTGCCCAGACTCCCGCACAGCCCTGCCTTTAAGCAACGGTTCTGCACACCAGGGTGAAATTAATGGGAGTTTTGTAACTGCTCGTGGGGGAGCTTTTTTGTCTCCATTCAAGGGTATTCGGAGCTTGGAAGCAAAGGGAAGGAATGAAAGGGGCTTCACCTGTTTCCTGTGACTGTGTTTGTTTTGTATCCCACCCGGGGTCATCACAGCGGAAGGGTTACAACAATGAAGGAAAGTGTTAAATGTGGTTGGCAGGCATTGGGCAAACTTAACAAGCTCCCCCCCTGCGCCTGAAGAGGAAAGTTTTTGATCAATCGATCTGAACGGGAAACAAAAAGCCGTGGAAAGATCAAATGCTCGGCTTCACAAGATAGAAAGGCCACAGAACAGTGGAGGATGTGAGAAACTGTGGGTTGTTTAGGCTGCTGGAATTTCAGGGCAAGCCACTTTGCAGATAACCGGAGTAACCGATACAAGTAGCTCTAGTCTTCACACGTCAACTCCCCCTCTTCATTTCCCACCGTTAGATACACAGGTGTGGATTGCCCCCAATGTCTCCCCTGCTTCCATGGCAGGGGCCGGGCTGACGACGGAGATCCTGACACGGTCAGGATTCCGGTAATTGGGTACACCCAGCCTGCTTGTCAGGATTCCGGCAGTCGCCCTAATTAAATCATACACCTTGAGCCGGGCTTCAAAAAACTTCGAAAGATTTATCAGGAGCAACACGCCAGCATGGCCTGTCTGGAACACGTCATTTACAATCGCCAGTGACCCTGTCTTCCCAAATCCCCCCCCCGGTGTATCATAATTTAGTCTCTCCAGTGAAACACGTTCACGGGCTGGGCGTCATCCATCACGTTCTCCGATAAAGGACGCCTTGTTTTTCGCGGGATAGAGAAGATATCTGAGTAGATCCCTTCCCCCTTCCGTGGTAGCGCGTATTTTATGAGGTTTATTAGGAGTGAAAAGTTTCAATAACCGGCTGAACGGCTCCCTTCAATTAACGGTAGCCCTCTCTTCCCCTAGCAGGGCCATGTTCATCTCAAGGCAGAGGTGGGCCCGGCGTATCCCCATCGCTTCCTCCGCCCTGATGCTACTTCTCAGCGTCTCCTGGGTGACCGGCATGGGAGAACACCTGGCCTTATCCCTCAGCCTGCTAAGCAGCCCGTTGCAAGGTTGGTCTCCGTCTCTGAAACTTCTCTTGCATTCAGACGACTTTCCCTCGCTCTCCTCCAATTGCATCCAGCTGGGGATGATGGTGTGTTTCATACCAGAGCCGCTGCCCTGGCTGGGGAATTCTGGGCGTTGAAGTCCAGCAGTCAAAAAAAAAAAAGGTGCCAAGGTTGGGCATCCCGATTATGACGAATGCTTAATTCCACCTGGAGTTTGACGGCTTTCTTCCCTGCCTCTGTAGGATTGCATTTTTAAGCTACGGCGTTAAGAGGACAAGCTCTCTTCTCTTGCAGCCTTCCGCCTGGTGACCTATTGCCTGGGCCATGCCAACGGCCCCCTCCTGGCCGCCAGCTTGCTCTTCTTCCCCCTGCTGAGCTGGCACCTCGAGCTGCAGGAAGGGGCTCTTGGTTACCTCCGGACCACCGCGCTCTCTGCCGCCCTCTCAGCCTTGGTCTACCTGTTCCTGGCCGGACTCCGGGGAGTCGAAGCCCAGGCCTCCGTCAGCGGCTACCTCCCTGTCCACCTGGCTCAGCTGGGCTGCCACGGAAGGCGCTCGGGGTGGCTGTCCGCTGCTCTCTTGGGGGGATTGCTCTTTGGCCTCGGGGAGATCCTGTCCCCGCGTTCTCCCTTCCTCCTGAACGTCTCTGGATTGCTCACAGGACTGCTAGCCTGTATCCTTTCCAAACCGGTGGGCTTGGGGAAGAGAAGGGGGCCCATGTGGCTCCCAAATCATTGGCAGCCCTCCCCAGTTTTAACAGAAATAGCAATAGCACTTATATAGCACTCTATAGTGCTTTACCGCCCTCTCTAAGGGGTTTACAGAGTCAGCCTCTCGCCCGCCAACAATCTGGGTCCTCATTTTAACCAACTCGGAAGGAGCGAAGGCTGAGTCAACCTTGAGTGGTGAGAATCGAACTGTTGGCAATTGGCAGAATTAACCTGCAATACTACATTCTGACCACTGCACCGCCATGGCCTTTCCTCCCCTTTCCTCCCCTCTCCTCTCCTTTCCTTTCCTTTCCTTTCCTTTCCTTCCACACTTAGCAATAGACTTCTATACTGCTTCCCAGTGCTTTCCAGTCCCCTCTAAGCAGTTTACAGAGTCAGCCTCTCACCCGCAACAATCTGGGTCCTCATTTTACCCCCTTCGGAAGGAGGGAAGGCTGAGTCCACCTTGAGCCCAGTGAGATTCAAACTGCCAAATTGCAGGTAGCTGGCTGCAGCAAAAGTAGCTTGCAATATAGCACTCTTAACCACAAGAATTTGTTGATGATTTTTGGGGGGTAAAGGGGAAAACCTCCCCCCCCCACTAGACTAGACTAGATGACCTTGGAGGTCTCTTCCGGCTTCTACAATTGTCCTTAATGCTTCAGACTGTGCTGGGACATTGTCCAAGAGACGCCTGGCAAGCCTGCAAAAGAAAATCCCAGCCTGGAACCGCCTCGGAAGGGCTTTCTCTCACTTGGTCAGGCCCTTCTCCTCCGGCACACCCTCCACTCCAGACAAAAAGGAAAGGTATTTTGGAATGACGGTCAATTTGCTTTCTTGGGGCTGCCGGACTACAACTCCCAACACCCCCTTGTTGTTCCCCTTGCTAGCGAAGAGGGGTTGAGGAATTGTAGTTCGATGTCACCCTCCCACGTTGCCCAGTTCACAATCTAGTAGACCCATGATGATGAACCTGCGGCACGTATGCCAGAGGTGGCACGCAGAGCCCTCTGAGTGGGCATGCGCGCCATCGCCAGCTGCTCTTCTGGTTCCTGGCAGGCATGCATGCCAGCCAGCTGGTCCTTGCGGGCACAGAGTGCTGAAAAATGGCTCGAAAAACGCCCCCAAAACAGGACGTTTTCCAGGAGGTTTGGGGCATCAAAAACGGCCCAGAAAACAGCCTGGTTTCCAGGACTGTTTTCCAGCCATGTTTGGGCCGTTTTCAGGGCCATTTTTGGTGTGAAAAACAACCAGAAAACAGCCCCCCAAACAGCCAAAAATGTCCAAAGGACAAGCCGTTTTTCAGACTGTTTTCAGGCCAAAAAGACTCCCCCAAAATGGCCTGAAAACAGCCCCCCAAATGACCAAAAAACAGCCAGCTGGTCTTTGGTTTTCCAGCACTCTGGCATGGGCGCTTCGATGCCGAAAAGGTTTGCCATCACTGTAATAGGCAATGGCTCCAATCCGACTGATTTGGACCCCTGTTTTCTTCTCTCCCAGAATCCCTGTGCAGGAGGCGTTTCCATCCAACCTGGCGGAGGCGGTTGCCATCCAGATCCCGCCCCCTCCTCCCTCTTGGACCGACCGAAGGGCAGGCCGGAAGTCCCAGCTGCCTTTTCCAACAACGTCCCAGCACCCCTTCCCGGATTCCCGCGAGGCTTCGGGCACACCTTCCTTCTCTCTCCCAAATTTCCCAACGGAGGAAGAGCTAATACAAGCAGCCATCCAGGCTTCTCTGCAAGACAGGAACGAAGAAGAAGTGAAGCTGCTCAAATCTTCTGTCTCTTCTCTCCGGTAAATCCTCGGGGAGAAATCGGGTGGGCAGAGCCGAGTGGAGCCTCCAGCTTGTAGGAGCAGTGTATCTGTAAGTGCAAGATTCTGGGGAACGAACGAGAGGAGACTTCTGCCTCCTGTGAGTTTGGATCACATGACCTTGGGGAATCCTGCAACGGTCGTAAGGGTGAGAAACAGCCCTGTGCTGTCCAGACAGCATAGAGGTAATGGGAATTGAGATAGTTAAGTTAGGATTGGGAGCTGCCCCCTTAAGGGAATGCCTCATGGTCAATGTAGTTAATGCATGCTGGGAAATGTAGTTCATGTCATGTGGTCACAGCTCTAATCCTGATTGGCCACTGAATTGACCCTTGGTTGGGTTGGGGGAGTTTTCTTTACTCCTGCTTGGACCCCGGTAGCGTGCTGGTGTCTCACGCCTTTGCTCCATAATTATGGGATGAAAGATCACTATTCTTTGACACTATGAAGTCATCTGTGCAAAGAGTTGGACATTAAGATGAATCTCGACATAACCGTGAGTTATATTTGAGGATGCCTTGTGAACCAATAAAGAAACTTTGTATGGAAGCCTTTGTAGAGTTTAATCTGACTGTCTTTATATTCAGCCAGTAATTAAAAGACAGGACAAGCCCCAAGTCATTTTTTTCCCCCCAGTGCTGTTGTAACGTCGAGCAGTCGCTGTTGCAAGTCGAGGACCACTGTATATTTATAGTTATATGCCCAGAGATTATGGAGATTCTCCATCATCCAGGTCACAGTTGTCCCAAAGGTGCCTTTTTCAAGAGGCAGCTGGACTTCCTTGGTTTTTTTTTTTCCGAAGACGTTTCGCTTCTCATCCAAGGAGCTTCTTCAGTTCTCAGTTCAGTTCTTCTTCAGAACTGAAGAAGCTTCTCGGGTGAGAAGCGAAACCTCTTCAAAGAAAAACCAGAAAGTCCAGTTGCCTTTTGAAAAAAAAAGCACGTTTGGGATGCACGCAGTTGTTTTACTCCGGCAAGATTCCGTCTGTAGGTAAACAACAATAAAAAAGAACTGCAGAAGTAGTTTCAGAAATAACCCCGTTGTTCTTGTTTCCTGGGCCTGACCCTCCGGCCTCTGACACCAGTCCTGCCTTCTTCTCTTCGCCCCCTTCCCAGGCTCCAGCAACTGCGGAAGATGGGCTTCCCGACGGAAGAAGCCACGATCGCTTTGGCAGCCACCGGCCACGTGGAAGGAGCCGTCTCTCTGCTGATCGGAGGCCATGTTGGGGACCAAGCCGTGGTGATGGCCGAAACCCGCTCAGCACCCCCTCCCACACGGCCTCAGTCAATCCCCAACCCATGAGATCAACCCCTCTTGGCATTTGAGCCGAATTTCGGCCATCCCGGGAAGAAATGGCCACGAATGCCACACAAGGACAGAGGGGATGCATTGTAGAATTAAACCTGGTTTGGCAAGAGCACGGAAAGGCCGCAGGTCAGCTTCAGACCCAGAAGGCCGTGAGGATTTGAGGAACAGAGGATGCCTTTCCAGACCAGAGTTGTGATTTGTCTGCTTGCAATTCCTTTTTTTTTTTTTTTCCAACTCTGGAGATGAATAAATGGAGCGAAACCAAAACAAAAAAAACCCCACCCCGGTTGCATGCAAAAGGAACCGAATTGCAGGAACCCAAGGCGGTTTTTGCCAAGCCTATCCACCCATTTACACTTTTAAAACCAAGGACCTGTTTAAAAAGTGGGGTGTAATAAGAATGAGCCTTCGGGATCCCAAGGGAAGCATCCAGGAAAACATGCCCTGTGTTAGCTGCACAAAGTTTCCATTCATTTTTTAAAAATGCAGATCAAGCAGACAGAAGACGCGAAGAGGCACAAAGACTATTCTTTAAACAGAAGAAAATATATTTCCCCCGTCCCATAAAATTGTTAACCGATGCTGGAAAGGGCAAGCTAGCAATCCTTGCTTCGCTACCGTCCCTCCCCAACAAATCTTTTTCCAAAAAAAATAATAAAAGAAGACCGTTAGGAGAAATATACAAATTTCAAAAAAGTTGAGACCATCAATAAAGACTCCCATCTTAATTCCGTGTAAGTTTTGTGCAGATTCCGGTTTCTTTCCACCGAACACCCAGAGTTTGGGGCAACAACAATTAGTCGGTTTATCCACCAAGCGCCACAAGATTCTTTCATTCCATCTCCATCCATTTGTGGTGGTTTCTCCACTCTGGGAGCTTTTGAAGACATGTGGACTTTTGACTCCCTGAATTCCCCAGCCAGTCAACGTCTTTTAAAAGATTGAGAAATACAGCTTTATAGAATGAGGAATGGCTGGGTTTGGGTGGTGTTTTGTTTTGTTTTCCAGACCAAAAAGGAGAAAAGATCCAATTAAAAAAAAAAAGTAACATTGAGGTTCCAAACTTGAACAAACAGCAAGAAAGGAAGCGTCTCTGGAGCTTCTGAACACGTGCCAGAGAGATGCCACCGCGGGCAAGAAGGTGGGAAAAGGCTGGATGTGTTGGACCCACCGTTGCCAAACTGTGGTCCAATCTGACCACAAGAGGGGATCTTTGGCAAGTGACAGGCAAGCCGAGACCTCCCTCCCCCCAAAAAAATATAACACCTGGTCCCCAAATTTGACAACATTTTAGACTGGTGGACTTCAACTCCCAGAATTATCCAGCGAGCTGTACCTGCTTTTTCTCTCTCGTAATCTCCTAAAGCGGAGAGAGATTGCAGAGGAAGGGATTGCAAGAGGGTTAAACTATGCTGGCTGGAGAATCCTGGGAGTTGGAAGTCCACCAGTCTTAAAGTGGCCAAGTTTGGGGACCTCTGCTCTATGCCCACTGCTCCCCTGGGAATCAAAGGCCCAGGTCTCTGGGGCGCATTTCTTGGGAGCTGGCCTGTTTTTGTAGTCCCAGGCAGAGGTGAACATCCTGTCCCACAGGTATGCCACAGGTGTAAAGGACTTGAAGGTTACATGGTTGAGCTCAAGCTAAAGAACATCAACCTGAAGACGATGTGACTTTATACCAGGAGTCTCCAACCTTGGCCACTTTGGACTTCAACTCCCAGAATCCCCCAGACAGCCATGCCTGCTTTTTCTCTCTCTTAATCTCCTAAAGTGGAGAGAGATTGCAGAGGAAGGGATTGCAAGAGAGTTAAACTATGCTGGCTGGAGAATCCTGGGAGTTGGAAGTCCACAAGTCTTAAAGTGGCCAAGTTTGGAGACCTCTGCCACACCATCTATTCCTATTGGTTCCAGAGCAGGAACAAATCCCCCGTGTGAAAAGAACAAATAAATACAGAGGAGGATTTGTTAGCAGGGTCCCGTCCCCAACCTGGTTCATCGAACAGCCCCACCCAACCCCACTGTCTCCTTCACCACTGGTCCAAGGCAGAGGGAGGAGGAGGAGGAGGAGGAGAGCCTGGTGCTCCCTCCACCTCGGAGGTCCCTCAGTCCAGACGTGATTCTTCTTCTTTGCCAGATGGTGGGCAGAACCTTCTTCATTTCTTCCTCTCCTCTCCCTTCCGAGAAAGATGGTGTGAGCTCACCCGGTAGGCCGCCATGTTCTCGTTGCGCTTATTGCGATCGTAGCCGGAAACGCCCGTAGCGGTCGGATCAAAGCCGGATCCCAGATCTGGTTCTGCCAACGGAGGAAGAAACGGTCAGCCGGGAACTTTTAGCTGCAGGAACGGCTGCAGCAGTGGTGGGATTCAAATAATTGAATGACCGGTTCTCCGCCGTAATCAGGGGTGGGATTCAAAAAATTTTTAACAACCGGTTTTCTGGGCGTGGCTTAGTTGGTGGGCATGGCTTGGTGGGTCATGTGACTGGCTGGGTGTGGCCAACTCAACATCACTCACATCGAGGCACGCATCTCCTCGCCTGGCCTCTCATGACTGTGGGGATGCTGCAACAGTCATAAGTGTGAAAAATGGTCGTAAGTTACTTTTTTCAGTGCCATTGCAACTTTGAATGGCCACTCCACACAAGCAAAGTACCAGCAAAGGAGGGGAAAAAAAACTCCAGAGAAGTTTCTGAGACAGGAAGTCTAGTCCTGCCCAAGAATGTAATAAGGGTTAACGGAGAGGCAGTTTCTGTAAGCAACACCAGAATGTTTCCTTCCTGCCTTCCTTACAGGATTAGCCCAGCAATTTCTTCTAACAACCGGTTCTCCAAACTGCTTAGAGTGTTAACAACCGGTTCTAGCCAATAGGTGCAAACTGGTAGAATCCCACCCCTGGCCGTGATGATTTCTTCCAACAACCGGTTTGTCAAACTGCTGAGAAAGTTAACCGGTTTTCCTGAACTGGTACGAACTAGCTGAATCCCGCCACTGAGCTGCAGTCTCAATGGAGCTGGACACCTATCCCCCTGACCCCCAAAATTGAGGGTTTATTCCACCCCTGCTGGATGGGTGCAAGCTGTATTTTTTTTTTTAGTGCATGCAGGCTAGCTGGAGATGCCACCGAGCAGGTGCAAAGAATTCCCAGCAGAATCTGGGATTCTACAACTCCAGCCATCCGAATCTCGTTTGTTTCGATACCGCGGAGCTGGAATCTTTCGATGCCCCTCCAATCCTGCAGCCAGAGGATGTATCCATCCGCACCACCACCCTTCCCACCAGCAAGGGAGTCAAGGCAGGCCAAACCATGCTAGGATTTTTTTAAAAGGGAAGAGGGGAAGAAAAAAAAGAGAAAAAAAAGAACGTGTGTTCAGGAAGGCGATGGGCGCAACAGGAAAAGGCCGGCATGCAAACTTTTGGAACGGAGGTAGAAGGTGAAAACCCCATGGCAGCTGCCAGGGTGACCTCTGGGCGCCGGGATCCTGGTGAATAATGCACCATGCGTTGGAAGAACAGGAAGGGGAGGGGGGGGAGACAGGCCCTCGGCACTGAGCATTACCTGGCCAGATGATAGCTTCCAGCAAGGTGACTCTCCTAGCCAGGAGCTCCAGCTGGGCTTGCTGTTCTAGGAAGCTTGGCAAGCTAATGGCCTGGCGGGGAGCGAGAAGAGCAGAGCGGAAATTGACTGACCCACCCAGAAGGAACAAGAAGGGCAGTTGGAGAGGGGAAAGTCCTGAGCCCAAGAACCAGAAGCCAGGGTCCTCTGGAAAGGTGGCACATTGGAGGGCGGGGGGCTGGGGGAATGAGTGGAGGGCAGAGGGTCTTCCTTGTGGGGCAGAGAGAAAGGCACTCGGGTATTTCTCCCATGTATGGAACCTGTGGGAAGGAAAGGTTCCAAGTTTGCCTGTCAAAAGCTGGCTGGGAATACTATAAATCGGGGGCGGTGGGGAAACGGCGGCCCTTTAATGACTTGTGGACTTCAACTCCCAGAATTCTCGTTCATTGCTGGCTCTGGAATTCTGGGAGTCGAAGTCCACGAGTCATTAAAGGGCCGTCGTTTCCCTACCACCGCCTCTGCTCTTTGTTTTTTCTAAACAAACTTTATTGATTACACAACTAAAATGTCAAACAAACACATACACAAACACACAGAAATAAAAAAAACGATTAAAAACTAGCAATTCTATTATCGACAGTCTATGGTTCCTTGTTTGTTATCAATATTGGTGACATATTTACAAATACATCTGATTGCGAGTATATAATTGCTACCTCTTTTACATTTTACAGTATTTACTAATATATTTTCTATTTTTGATCTATCCAGTCATGCCAGCATTCCCAGCTTCTATAACCTGATGTTTCTTTTTCCTTAAGCGCTAAGGTTAATTTATCCATCAACCTTCACCTCTGCTCTTAAAGGGCGATCTTATTTCGCCTTGGATACCACAACCGTCCAATCATGCAGTCCAGTTGCCAAAGAGCCTGGACTGCAATCGGGTTTTGCCGCAACGGTCATAAGCATGAGGACCCGCTGTCAGCCGCGTTTTGCAATGCTGTTGTTAACTCGGAGCGGTCGTTAAGCAAGGTGGAGGACAACCCGAATGAAAATAAAGATCACTTTTGCTGCACAAAAGATTTCTGCTTTTTTTAAAAAAAATAAAAATCATTTAGTGACAAAGTGTAGCGGTGCCTTTTTTAACGACATTGTCTGCAGCCTCCTTGCTATCCCATCTACCCTCAAGGAGGCTCAAAAGGGCCAGCTATAAAAATCTGAAAGAAATTTCCCAGCCTCTTAAGAGTAAAATACACCAACGGACGCTTTCTTTCATGGGAAAAGGAACTCTGGAGAAATCCCAAGGAAATCTACAGTGCATCTTCGCATCATGTTTATGCAGATGCTCACTTATCCAGGTTGTCCCAAAAGGTGCTTTTTTTTGTTTTTAAGAAGTAACTTTCTTTCTATTTTCTGGGAGTCTACCATACAGCATCCCTCACCAAAACATCGTAAAATATATATATATATATATATTTTTCCCCTTTCTGTTCTCGCCAGGGGGAGCCCTCTGAAGGCTAATGGGTCCAAATCCCGGTCAAGGGCTTAGGTACCTGCCTATAAAGCCGCGTCTCTAGGAAGGGAGGGAGGGAAGGAGGGAGGAAAAGGGCATGAGAAAGGGGGAAGGAAGGAAAAAAGGGAGGGAGGGATGGAGGGAGGGAGGGAGGAAGGAAGGAAAGGAAGGAAGGAAGGAAGGAAGGAAGGAAGGAAGGAAGGAAGGAAGGAAAAGAGCATGAGAAAGGGTGAAAAAAGGGAGGGAGGAAGAAAGAAGGAAGGAAGGAAGGAAGGAAGGAAGGAAGGAAGGAAGGAAGGAAAAGAGCATGAGAAAGGGTGAAAAAAGGGAGGAAGAAAGAAGGAAGGAAGGAAGGAAAAGAGCATGAGAAAGAGTGAAAGAAGGGAGGGAGGAAGAAAGAAAAGAAAGAAGGAAGGAAGGAAGGAAAAGAGGGGCATGAGAAAGGGAAAAGGTAGGAAGGAAAGAAAGAAGGAAAGAAACAAAAGAGTATGAGAAAGGGGGAAGGAAGGAAAAAAGGGAGGGAGGGAGGAAGAAAAAGAAAGAAAGAAAGAAGGAAGGAAGCAAGGAAGGAAGGAAAAGAGCATGATAAAGGGTGAAAGAAGGGAGGGAGGAAGAAAAGAAAGAAAGAAAGAAAGAAGGAAGGAAGGAAAAGAGGGGCAAGAGAAAGGGAAAAGAGGGAGGAAAAGCATGAGAAAGGGAAAAGGTAGGAAGGAAAGAAACAAAAGAGCACGAGAAAGGAGGAAGGGAGGAAAGAAGGGAGGGAGGAAAAAAGAAGGAGTGAAAAGAGCATGACGAAGGGAAAAGGGAAGGAGGGAGGAAAAGCACGAGAAAGGGAAAAGGAAGGTTGGTGGAGGGAGGGAGGGGGGAAGGAAGGAAGGAAGGTAAAGAGGAGCATGAGAAAGGGGAAAGATAGGTGGGAGGGAAGGGAAGAGGAGGAAGGGAGGAGCCAGGCCACCTGGCCGGAGTGGGATATCTCCCTTTTAATACGCACAATCCAGCTCCCACCCTCCCAAACGAAGAGACAGGACAGTCCGGGCAGCTTCTCCCGAGAGATGCATCCCTTCCAGAAGAGCCTCCTCTACCTTGGTTCCTTCCTCCATCAAGAGGAGACAAAATCTGGGGTGCCATAAGCTGCAGCCCCCTTTCTGTCCGGGGAGCTCAAGATTGGAGGGAGGCGGGCTCCGAGACCCCGGCCCCCCTTCGCCCCGAGAGCTGCTACAACTTGGTGTTTCGGCCTCTCCTCCTCCTCCTCCTCCTCCTCCTCCTTCCTTTCCCTGTCTCTACTCACCATGCAGCCCAATCATGGCCTCCAAGATTAAAACCCTTTCTGCTAAAATCTTCAAAGCCTCTCGGAGCTGGTGTAAACCCTCCCCCTGCGGACGAAAGAGACAGACACAGCCGTGAAAGGAAGGCACGCACACACACGTGTGCAAGGGTGGGGAGTGGGGAGTGAGAGAGAGAGAGAGAGAAAGGAGAGAAAGGGGTCCGCCATGCCTTTCCTAGATGGCCCAACTTTCTCGCAGGCATCCCGAGCCCCCCAAACGCTCGTGTGTGTGTGTGTGTGTGTGTGTGTGTGTATGCATGTGATGCCCCCCCCCCAGAGTCTGAATCCAAGGAGGAAGAGGAACAACTGACAGGAAGTGGGAGCGTGGCTCCCTTGGCTGTGGAGGAAACTGGGGAAGGGCAAAGTCCGGCTGGGCAGAGCAGGGGAGAGGTAGAACAAGGGAGAGGGAGTTTAGAGGAAGACTCAGGCCCACTCCCTCTTCATCCTAGGGCACGCAGGGAGGAACGGAGAAGGGAGCAACATGAGTTGCGTGGCTTACGGGGGAGGAAAGGGCCCTGATTCCCTTCACTAGCTACAGCTAGGAAGGGAGCTTAAAAGAGATGCATGCTGAGAATGGTGGCTGCTGGGAACAAACATGAGTTTATCTTGTGTTGACTTTGGTTATCTGCGTTCCGGGCATCCTCCCAACCGGGTTAATTACGTCCGTTCCTTTATGGCTGGAAGTCCTTCTCCTGCCCTGCCAGACTAATTACCTCATCTTGCCTTGATTGGACTTACAGTTACAGTTTTTGTTGACCACGTTTTGGACTTGGCTGTTCCTGGGAGAGTTTTTCTCCAACCCAGCAGGTAACCAGGACATTGGGGGCCAAGTTGGAGCTAATAAAAGGACTCCTACTGATTATGTGACTGTGTGACCTTTGTGCCACGCCCCTTTGGGTCATCACAGAGTGTGTGTGTGTGTGTGTGTGTGTGTGTGTGTGTGTGTGTGAATGCAATTATTATTCACAGGCAGGAAGGGCAGTTTAGTCTTTCATGCACAATTTTTCTGGGGACGGAGATGCCATGCAGGCAAAGACAACCAGCTGGTGCAGGATTTGGGGAACTCAACCGGCTAAAAATGGGGAGCCAGCATGCTGTCAGGAGAAGGTTGGGGGTGGGGGAAGGGGGTGCTTTTGTTTTTTGCATTACATCCTCGGGTGCCTGCAAACGCCTCCCTCCCACTCCGAAGAAGTACAGGGTTAGAACCTGGAAGCCATCCACGCCAATCCTCGGTCCAGCGTGCAGGAAGTTTGCCGTGACCACGTCCCGTGGCCCAGCCGCGACGGGTTAATTGGTGATTATGAATTCATTCCTTTGTGGTTCATGCTTTACAGGGGTTTGGTCTCAGAGCTCCAGGGGGCATCTAAACCAGCTTTTCCTGACCAGCTTCTCCTTGGCTGAGCTGTGGCTGAGCACCCAAGATTCCACAGTCCTTCCTCTCCTCTCCCTCTCTCCCTTCCTTCCTTCCGTCCTTCCTTCCTTCCTTCCTTCCTTCCTTCCTCACCCAGCTCCTTTTAGCACTGATGATGTTACCTAGTTGGGTCATGAAACACCTGCAATAAAACCATCAAGCTCAGAGAGCACTAAGGACCCCAAAGTCCTCCACCTCCTCCATGCAAACCCTTCTAGCCCTGATGATGTTACCTAGCTGGGTCATGAAACGCCTGGAAGAAAACCATCAAGCTCAGAGAGCACCAAGGACCCTACAATCCTCTTCCTCCTCTAATCCACCAACCCTCCCTCTCCCTTCTTCCCTCCATCCTTCATTCCTTCCATCCATCCTTCGTTCCTTCCATCCTTCATTCCTTCCATCCTTCGTTCCTTCCTTCCATCCTTCATTCCTTCCATCCATCCTTTGTTCCTTCCTTCCATCCTTCATTCCTTCATTCCATCCTTCGTTCCTTCCTTCCATTCTTGGTTCCTTCCTTCCATCCTTCCTTCCTTTCTTTCCATCCTTCGTTCCTTCCTTCCATCCTTTGTTCCTTCCTTCCTTTCCTTCCATCCTTCATTCCTTCCTTCCATCCTTCGTTCCTTCCATCCTTCGTTCCTTCCTTTCCTTCCTCCATCACCCAAATCCCTTCTAGCACTGATGACATTGCCTAGTTGGATTATGAGACGTCTGCAAGAAAATCATCAAGCTGAGAGAGCACCAAGGACCCCACAGTCCTCCTCCCCGCTCCTCCTCTCCACAAACCCCACTCCCTTCCAACACTGATGACATTGCCTAGTTGGGTTATGAGATGTCTGCAAGAAAACCACCGAGCTTGGAGAGGACCAAACCTGAGCTACAAACATTCTCTCTTCTATCAGTTAATTCTTTGGCATTGATTGGCTTGAATGTTTTTGATTAAAAATTGGAAAGAGGTGACAAAAAATTGGGGGCGGGGGAAGAGCTGACGACCTCACAACTGTTCTGCCTTTTCTTCTGGCTGAATGTCCTTTGGAAGGCTGCTACCCCCTTGTCCTTGGGCAGGTGGGACCAATTGTTTTAAGAGCCAGGGTCCTCTCACAAAGATAAGAACTATAGAGGAGAGAAAGGGAGGGGGAAAAAATGGGGATATATCACCCAAAACGTACCCAGGACCCCTTCTCGCCTGGGTCACCCTTGAGACCTGATTCCCCCTGCAAGAAACCAAAAATAAGATGTTAGAAAACAAGGGAAGAGTCTCTCTCTCTCTCTCTCTCTCCCTGGCTCTTTGCTGAAAAGGATTTGGACTACAACTCCCATCACTCCTGGCCAGGTAGGACGGGGGAAATGGGCACTGTAAGAGACGGTCCATACTGTATTTGAGGACAGCAAGATTCATGAGAATATCCACATTTCTCTTTCTTGGAGAAAGGGTATATAGGACAGTGTGTCAACTCTTAAAATAATTCTATAGTCTTTTTAGAGTGACCAACAGAAAGGGAGGGGGGAGCAGTGAGGCAGCTTGGAAACCAAAAGTGCATTCCATAGTTTTTCAAAGATAGTAACTAGGAGACCGAAGTTTCTACTTCGCAAAATTCTAATTGGAGAACATGATTGATGACTCTGGGCTATGGATGTGTCCCATTGGAGAATATGAATTACGATACGTCCAGAGGGGTGGGGGGAAAACCGAGGTCAAGGGTGACAATGAATTATGTGTCTCAGAGTCAGCTACACCCAGGCAGTGCTGGACATGTTTACGCCTAATAAATCCTTTGGAAGTTTTTGGAAGTTTGGCTTGAGACTCGTGATTTAATTGGAGGGTAACTGCCAGAATCCTGACAGAGTGTTTCTCAACCTTGGCAACTTTAACAACAGAAATTTTGGTCACAGTGGTGGCCATAAATCAAGATCTACCTATACCAGGTATCACAACAGACTTGAAGGACACGCACGGACCAAGATGCTTGTCGGCCTTCAAGACTCCTTTCTTTCGCTATCTTTTCAGCTGTCATAGTAACGGGGGGGAGGGTGAAACAACTGGCCTTTGTGGGGTGGGAAGTGTGCTGGAGGCTTTAGAGAATGAGCTGTCTAACTTGGGGAAAACTTTATTGTTTATGCTTCCTTGCTTGCTTACTGCCGCAACTGCAGCTCTTTATCAAACCAGGCCAAGGTCAACGGCCAGATGTCTGCATCACCACCTGAAGATGCCCCACGTGACACTATATACATCTTCAATTGGAGGAACTATTTGAGCTATTGTGGGTGGGAACGTTGCTATCACTTCGTGTATGTGATTTCTGTGCGTAAATTCTCAGATCTAGAATCCTTTTGATGCTGCCACTTGATTTCCAGTAAAAGTCCTTCTCTCTATAACAAGGGAGTCTAAGGGTGTCTTTCTTGGATTTTGAATGGAGCACCATCTGACAATGCAACGTGAAGTCGGTTGTTCATTTGGGCGCCAGGAAGGAAAACTATTTGATGTAGCTCACCCATCTTTGTTGCAGGGGTACATGGCTTGGGATCCCCAACTTCCGCAGATACTGGAAAACTCACCTTCTCGCCTTTCGGTCCAAGGGTACCAGCAGCTCCATCAGTACCCGGTGATCCTGGAATTCCCTGGAAGAAACGATCCCATGGTCTCAGATTAGGGACTGGAATTCCATCCTTCTTCCCCAAAGGGAATTCCTTTCAGGTTCCCAAATTCTCTTCCTGGAGAGACGGTTGGTCTACTTACGTCACGGCCCGGAGAGCCTGGTTTTCCAGCAGGTCCTGGAGGACCTAGAAAGAGAAGAAAAATAAGCACATCTTGGTCAACCTTCTACTTCTACTGAACGGTTGTTGATAGGAAAGGGGGCTGAAGATGATTTGTGGGAATTGAAGTCCACACACTTCTTATCCGCGCCTCTTAAAGTTGTCAAGGTTGGGAAAACCCTAGCCAAGTCTGGAAGGGTGTAGTTTTGGGGTTGGCCAACCTTAAACACCGTTCAATTCTGGAGCCGACCGGAAGTCCGGTTCCATCACTATAGAGCAGTAATGGTGAACCTTTTTGTTGTGGTATGCTGAAAGCATGCGCACACCGGCACCCAAAATGCAGTGCGGGGGGGGGGCTGCACATGTGCGTGCAATACTGCCTACCCCCTGCACTGCGCGCACCTCCCAGCTGATTTTCGGCCCACTTGAGGCCTTTTTCACTCTCTTGCACTCTCAGGAGGTCGAAAAACGGGCCTCCCAGAAATACCAGAAGTGCTGAAACGGGCCTGTTTTTGAGCCACCAAAGGCTGCAGAGGCTTCCCCTGAGCTCCAGAGGCCCTCCGGAAGCTGAAAATGGGCACTTCCGGTATTTCTGGAAAACCCATTTTTTGGCCTCCTGAGGCTACAGAGGCTTCCCTTGATCCTCTGGGAGGCCAAAAATGGCCTCAAATGGGCCGAAAATCAGCTGGGAGGTGCATGCATGCACAGTGCAGGTAAGTTTAGCTGGGGTTCACATGCCTGCACAGATGGCTCTGCGTCCCACCTGTGGCACATGTGCCAAAGGTTCACCATCACGGCTATAGCGTCTCCTCCTCGCACAGCGTCCTTTTTCCTCTACCTGTCCTAACAAAAGCCCTGTCAATTGTGGAGCCAACCAGGAAACCCACCCCTTGCCATGGTCTCTCCTCTTGGCATGCGGTGCTTCCCCCCCACCCCCCACAAAAAAATCCGGAAGCTCCTCTCAAAATTGTGGCACTGACCAGCAACAGGGAGCCACAGCAGAGGGACGAAAGAGCCACATGCGGCTCCAGAGCCGCAGGTTGCTGACTCCTGATCTAGTTCTGATGTTCAACGATCGAAGCGTCCTGAAGAGGTCTCACTTACTTGGGTCATCCCCACTGATGACGGAGAGCTGCGGTTGTCCCCTTGCCTCTGGACGCCCGGCTTTCATTTATTAAGGTAATATATTTGCCCAGAAACCAGGTTCCTAGGCTGCTTAAACCATGTTTATTGCCCCATTATTGTACACCCAAAAGGCATTAAGACTTTTACAATCGGTATTTCCAGACAGGTTGGGGATGTGACAATTCTTACCTGTTGGGCCCGGAAGTCCCGGAGGTCCAGCTGGACCAGTTACAGCCGTTTCTGGGAAGGAGTTGGAGAGAAGCAAATCTCCTAAGACAAAGGAGAAACGAAAGACCATGAAGAACCTCTCATGGAGAGCACCCGTGTATATTCTCCTTCTCCCTCTCTTCTCTCTCCCTCCCTCCTCTCTCTCTTCTCTTTCTTCCCCTTTCTCTC